ACATGTAAGATAAGTCTTCTAGGATTATTAAGAGGGAAAATGTGGTTGTGACAAACGTTACAAAATAGTGGATAGACATTTGCAATTCCTAAAATCAAATCTTAGTTTTGTCATCTGATAGAAAAAACAACAACTAATATGATGTAAAGTATTATTGTAAAAACTTTTCTCAGGAAGAAATATGTTTTTGTTGAAGTTATCTGCTCAAGGAATGGCAAAATCAGCCTGTTTCATGTTTGTCATGGTGGGCAGACACCGTGGCGTACATTATTCCATTAATTACTGGTACATGTGTAGCTCTCCTTAAATTCCAGTTTAAGATAACTTAAAGCAATAACAAGCCATAGATTTTGACATATTTCTCAAAAGTTACACCTGTAGTATCCATGTTTTAACAGATGAATTGCTTTTCTCTATAAGAGTCAGTGGTATTTTAGATTATAACCTAAAAAACATGAACTGACACATGTCCCACCAGAACCCCTGATAAACGATGGACAGTTTCATCAAGATCCTGATTATTTTAACAAAGAGCAACAACCAAAGCCTATTAAACAGTGTAAACTACCACACCTGTATATCTCCATAATTATCCATGTACAAATATCAGTAAAATTGTTTAAGTTAATTACTTGACTTTCAACACTGTTAAAGAAAGAGATGATTTTGGTTAAAAATGTGCAAATGTGTTTTTTAGTGTGGACAGACCCATGTACATGTAAATGCTGCATACATGTTCATACAGTACAGTACGGTAAGGTACATGTATATACATGTACAGTACACTATGCAGGTGCCGGTACATACATGTACATGTATGCTTTTTTTTTTCTTTTCTTTTCTTTTGAATCTTCAACTGGCAATGAAGGGTAAAGTCAGTCAGTCAATTAGGCAGATGGCAAAGACTTCAAGCTACCAAATAGCATAGCTTTCCTTCAGAAGGGAAGGTTCTGTGTGTTCAGTGCAGTCCGAAATGAATGCTCCAACTTTGGAACTGAAGCGCCGTTTCCATTGTGCATTGCTTAAAAAACAAACATGGGAAGGGATCGAGGTTCATAAGCGGTACATGTACCTGAACCAGTATGTAACTTTATTAAAGAGAACCATGACCCCCAGCCCATCCTGAACATAATGCAATGCAGCCTATTGGCCATTGGTCTTTTCACACTACAGCCCTGGGTGAACCCAAGACTGCCCTTGGTTGAATATTGACTTTTTAACCAAACGTTCAAACCAGCATTGATTCGACATTTGTTTCGTGTGAACTGAGCTTATCGGGGTAAGGTCAATCTAAAAATGAGCACGAACAATTTTTAACCCTGGTTGACAAAGCTCAACCCCGGTCTGGAACAGGGTTGAGTTCAACCTGGGGTTCAACTCAATCTCAGGGTTGATGCAGGGTTGGCGTGGGGTTGAAACAGTTTCAAGTAGGAATCGTTGCCACTTTTCAACCCTGCATCAACCCCAAGATTTCTCCAGTGTGAAAACGTCTGAATGTGATCAAGTACTGAACAATTCAGAGAGCCTCCTGACACAGAGCAAGAGCACTGACATCTTTATTTGTATCATTTGGCTAAAAGTCTGGCTGATTAGAGTTTGGGTAACACAGTTTAAACCAGTTCATGGCCTTCATACACGTACATGTAGGAAAGGTCTTGAAAAAAAAAATCATGAAGTACCAGTACAGCCATCACAAGATCTTTCATGGGACCCTGAATTTGATATTTGGAATCCAAAAGAAAATTATCAAGTCGGATGCTGAACCAGTTTTTCCTTCTACACATTTTGACGTCTCACTGAATAACAACAGCAGCACCACTAATAAAGCAGCGGTCATCTGAATGCAAAAGGACGCGGATCCCACACAGAACTTAGTCCTTAGTTGCATAATGTAAAAAGTAGACATGAATACCAATGCAGGCATGTGTAATGAAATTTGGCTTTCATATGATTAAACTAAAAACTGCAGCATGGACATGTTTAGCCAGCCTACACGTTCGTGTACGAGTACAGTGTACATATACATGTACACCACTGTACATGTACCAGTACATGTACATGTACAGTACCTCTGGTGGGCTGTGATTAAAAAACCAGACTTTACATGTACCGTATCTATGCATGTTACACGTGTTATGTACATATTCCTTGACTTACTGGTTCAAACACCATGAACAGCATTACAGACCATTATATGAATATTACTGGTCAACTGATGCAGATGTTGGAAACAATAAACAGCATGAGATGCAGAGACTTTGACTGTCTTTCACAGATAGAGAAATACTTGAAACACCCATAGTGGATGCTTTCTTTTTTTAATGTGTTTAGCCGTGTTCCCATTGGACTTTTTTGGTTAAGTTACCACGACTTTCCCATAGAATTAAAAAATTAACTCCAATGGAAATACACAGTAAACTAACGTGCCTGTCAACTTACCGTGATGCGATATACATGTACATGTAAAAACTAACGGGCCGAAAAGGGTTGCGGAAGATTACCGTGCCGTCACGGTAATTGTAAGTTAACAGGGGTGCAAAAAGTCCAATGGGAATAGTTCCCATACAATGTAGATTGACCGTGACCACCTACATGTACGAGCCACAGACTACTGTCTACACAGAGATCAATAGTGAGCACGCAAAAATGGTTGTATGGTTCCCAGTCTCCAGCTCCGTGTGTATAGTACAGCAGCATGCCGCGCACACACAGTGAAATGTGACGGATAAAGCTACCCGTGCATGTACATGTATACACACATTGTTTACAGGGCTTTTCCTGTATGGGTTCATCTTATTTGAGGCACATTTAGCCAAATTTGTCTGATTTTGTAGTTTTAAGGTCAGATGTTGCCAGTTTCGTCATGATTTGTACAGTGCAGGCAATGTAACCAGCTGGTCTTACTACTAAGCCTGCATGTAACACAGCGAATAAACATTCTGTTATGGTTTAAAAAAAAAAGTCCACCTGAGAATATGCGGTAGATTGACACGAAGGAATGTCGCGGTAAGTTTCCAAGTGCCCACAGAAGAAAAAGCCCAATGGAAACATTTCTTTTAACAAATGAGTACTGGTAGTGAAGTGCAAGAATGTGCCGTACGGTACAGTACAGTATAATTACACACTGAACAATGTACATTGTACACATGTATGATGAAACTCATGTACATGTACATGTACATGTATTTACCCTGAAAATGTAAAACTACCATTCAACAAACTGTAAGCTACCTGTACCAGAACGTGTATTGCTGATTGGCACCACAAAAAAAATGTGGGTTGTTATAATTCAGGAAAAGATAAAATTTCATTAATGTCTGGACCTGCAATAAAGTACCAGTACTGTACTAATGTGCAGAAACTTGAGTGGGACCCAAAAAAAAAAAACAGAAAGTGAACACATCCCACACATGACATTTAAAGTGAAAACTCCAGAGGACTCCTAGCTTGTAATAACACGGTCAAAAACAAGCCATCACGTCTAGCCGTCTGCCAAACACAATAGTCTGCAATAGAAGACTGGATAAACTGCGACGGCTAAAATTTCCTTTGCCCGGATGTTCAACTCCATGCATTTGTTCCACCCCAGCAAAAGAAAGAAGACTCATCGGATTATCTCCAACAAGAAATCTCAGTGTTCTCGCCAACATTCAAGGATTCCCCGAAGCTCCCTTGATTAAAAAAAAAAAAGCTTTTCAAGATTTGCCTCATGGGCTAAGATGGCAACTCCCTCACTTCATGAGAGTACAAAGTTGTACAATGTACACATGTGCAGGTAAAGTACATGCACCGGTCCACTATGGCAGGTTCTTTGCTCCTCATATGAAAACAGAAACCCTGGGACTGAAGCTGAGGGCAGACTATTAGATCTTCCACAGATCTACAATGCAAATTCACAACTTGACAAACTTTGGCGACATCTCCCTCCCCCCCTCCCCGTTTGTTTGCTTTCTTCCCAGGCACTGTATGTGTGGAGCATAACAAGAAACTTTTCACCGAACTAAAAGCATGTACAGAGATGTGCAAAAATCAGTTCAGAGGTGAGCTTGCGCAGAAGAAATTGAAATTACCGTTAAACGGCCAGAAGAGCTACCGATATGCACATATTTTACAAATTAAATACATGTACAGTACCAAGTGCCCATGCTCTACTGTCTTCACAATTTATCTAAGCACCGGTACATGTACAAAGAAGTTAAGTGCACTCTATGGTATGAGCATAAACAGTCTGCAGCATTAATATTTAGCAGTATCGCAGTAATTTTTATAATCCAACTGATCTGAACGCATCATATACACCTTGAAATAAATGCATTCACATAATAAAACATTGTACCGGTACAGGTGTGTATGTACAAACTACATGTAAATTCTGGACTGGCTCCAATCTCCCTGATACAGGGTAATACTGTTTTCATTTTGTCGCATTAATTACTACAAGTAGTTTGTCTACATGTAATTTACAATAATCCCGTTGAGGGCAACATTTTGTCTCGGAAAATACATGTATCTCATCCACGCACGAGTTCTGCTGAGTAAAAGACAATTGCAGCCAAAAAAAAAACAACTTTGGATGACCAAACCCCCTCTCCTCGAAATGTTGCCTTCATTTACAAGAAGTAAACACAAGCAAATTTGATTCCAAGAGTTGGAAGCTAGCAGCCTGGTATCCCCAGGCAGCATCCCAAATCCACACCATTATCTATGTCGTAGGGGGTTCACTCTCTGCACGTGAATTGCGTCTGCCACCCTGCTAAAATCTAAGGCCATGGGAAACACTGTTTTTTACCTACATTGTATGTTCAACCCAAAAAGACACGACCCTGGGATTTCCCAGGTTCGGGCCAGGAAAGCGCAGCGCAGCTCCCAGGGATGAGATCTGAGAAGTGAGGCAAGTACATGGACCACTAGGTAAGTAATGCACAATACATGTACATGAGCAGGGAAAGCAAGAACAATACAACAGAGTAATAGGGCAAGTTAAAATGTACTCAACAAACCTATTTCCCGCATTCTTCTGGCCACCATGTTGAAGGGCTCCCGGCTCACATGTCGGTAGCTCTCCAGATCGATATCGCCACGTCGTATTCTGTTGATGCAGTAATCCTCTATGTACTGCTTGGTGACACTGTCGCTCATCTGTTGGCAAAACAACAAACAAAGTTGTTCAGACTGAGAGCTGCCTAATATCATGCTCTGAAAGCTCCGATCTGCTCTCTGGAAGTCAGCTGCAAGGGAACGCACAAACAGGGTACATTATAGGTGTACAATGCACGTACATTTTCCGAAGTTAAACATCTGTGATCGGGGACATTTGTGGATGCGTGGGAACAAAGCATGATTTCCCATAAATATCATTCCCAAGACTGAATGCACATCCGGACTCCGAAAGAACACGTACCGTACCTAATCTTTTTGTGTAATATTTTACATGTACAATGTATGCACTGCACTGCATACCAGTAACACTCGTACATAATATTCGTACATGTACGTGTGCACATGTGTTTCATTTACCGTAAGTTAAGGTACCTTTGCATGGTCTCAAGATGAACCTCTTGAAAATGACACCTGTTGGTCTAAATGTACATGTTGTAGGCCCTACATGTACATGTGGTACATACCTTTTCTCCTTGGTGTAAGAAAAAACGTGGACAAGGAGTAAAGTTCAACGCAGATGTTCGTGTACCGCTTTATTTATAGTGCGGTGTTTATACATGTACATGTACAGTACAACGGTACATGGTACAGTACCTTATGTCAGGCACGTTATGTTTGTGTTACTGGTACATTAACACACAGTATAAAGTCTCAGTTGATCACTTAATACATGTAAGTGCTATATTTTCCCTGAAATAAAATTGATCAGACTTTTAAAAACTGTTTCAGTAATCTTAGAGATTTGGCACCACATCAGCTGTCTGAGTCACTGTTTCCATGTACACGTGTATAAATGTGCATACCCCGGGTACCAGGGGTACGTGTGCAGTACGTGTAAGTATATAACTACTGGTACCATAGTCACGTGCAGTAAGCTTACCGTCATTAACCTTGACTTTTTCTGACCCCAAAATAAGAGGCTGTACTTTACTGCAAGGCCAAAAAAAACACTGATCCAGAAAGCATTGATTCTGAAAATGGCATTGCTCATTTCATAGAAAAGAATTTAGAAAAACCCTTGACATCAGCTTTCTACCAGCATTTTGCATCCATTTCACTAGAATGGCTTGCAGTAATTGATGAAAGCTTATAAAGTTTGATGGGCCCATCGGCACTTTGCGGGCCCATCACAGAGCCAACAGCATGCTTTCTGATTGACATGTAGGGCCAGGCTCTATGTAATATATTGCATTCTCTGTCAGCTGACAACACACCACCAGTATCCATGAAGCTTAAGAATGCGGTCTGATGCCTGGGTTAACTTTATACAATTTTGCATACAATGTTCATGCCTCCTGGTTTAAATTGAATTTGTACACGGATTGGTAAGGTACGGTACAGACATTTGAAGCAAGATATGGGACGGAGAGACCCCCCCTCCTGCCCTTGTGTTGGTCATTGTTTGATCGGAAACTCAGGAATTCTTTACAGACTTCTAGGGATTGGACAGGTAAGGGGGGTACCCCTCCGTCCCATATCTTGCCTGGTATAGGTACAGTTGGGACATTTCCGGTAGCATTTTCAAACCAGGGCGCCTTATAGAGGGATTTCACATTAGCTCCATCTGTGCATATCCGTATCGAAAGCGAGGCTCTCTGTTTGAACTTCGTCGAGCGCGCCTGCGGAGTCGACACAGTACACTGTACATGCAGTATCCGGTTCGTAAGTGTGGCGCCACTTCAGTTTAAACCACGCCCACTGCACAAGATACATGACCATCGCAGGTGCGTTAGCTTGCGGTAAATTGCCGTTAGTTTTTCTTTTGATTTTACGTGTTGAGACTTTTCCATTAAAAGTTGAAGCCTGGAAAGTCTTAATTTAACATACCTTTATGTATTTTGTGTCTTGACTCCTCACTTCCCATCGTCTGATCGTATTAAGAATTGAAGCTGACACATACAGCCTCATTTTCAAGTGCGGAAATGCGCCGATCGATGCTAAAAGCGTCGTATTGGGATCCCTCTATTTATCCAAACCAATGTGTGTGACACTGCCCTTTGCATACCGTATACAATGCACTGGTACATGTACTGTACATGTATGACAGCTCATCTGACCATGATAATGGTCTAAATCTCAGGGCATTGACCTCCAAGAAGTTCCTGTACCTTACATGTATTTCACCTCTGTATCTGTAGTGAGAAATGCATTTACTGTACTTTCCGCAATGTTCATGCACATGTGCATGCAGCCTAACGGGCCAGGTACATGTACATGTAGTTCTGGAGCCACAGTGGTGCATTTATGTACATGTACCAATAGGGCTACGTTATGTAACAGTTTGTGTTACTTGTATACGTGCGTGTACATGTTCATGGATGTACAGATGTACATGTATGTACCGGTTACAACTGTACAAGTACACATACTTATTGGTACACTGTAAATGTACAGGTACATAAAAATAAAGCAAATATGGTTTGTGCAAAATTCACTGAAATTGGAGGATGGAGGATCATTGAGATTAATAAGATGAAACTTTTGCCTCAAATATTCAAACAGACATTTCTACACCTGTCCATAGTTTACATGTACATGTTGGACAGTTATTGCATGTAAAGGCAAAACAAAGTCGCACACATCGATTTCAAGCATGTGCATCAATTGTTTTTTTTCTCTGCAAGAGTTGCAACATTGCTCTCTATTACCACACTGTCTCAACAGTTTTGTGGGCAGCTACATGTAGATCGTTTACTAGGGGCGATAGATCCCAATGTGACAGTGTTGAACAATGATAGCAGACTATGGACATAAAGTTGTTGGTTCTCAGCTTATAATCACAATGAAGCTGGTCTAGTCCCATGATTAGACAAGGTGTATCTGCAGTTGTCTAGTCATGGGACTAGACCATCTTGGCGGAGGGAGGGAAAAAAAAGTCGCACCGCCACACCAATTCTGGAACAAATCAGTCTGACCAGAGGCAAACTAATATTTGGGGGGGGGCATAATATTACCGTTAGACCAACATGTACCGGTACGTACACATACATGTACATGTACAATGTATACTGGACCCGGACATAATAAATTTTAGTACATACATGTACATGTGCTTCTTACTAGTAGTTCTACAAAATTGGGGATTCATTTTAAGGAACCATTCAACTACCATTATGGTTCTCCTTAAAAGAAATAGCTCAGAAAATTGCACGTTTTGGTCCTAACACTCTCTATGTGTACATGTACATGTATGTTTGAAAATGTGTTGTCCCCCAAAACTACTGGGTACATGTACCACATGTGTACGCTATGGCATGCATACCGGTAGCACATCAGCCTAACTGCAGCATCTCAGCACATTAGTAAGTTGTGCAGTGCACTGTTTACATTGTGTACGGTAGCTGGTTGCTGGCCAGGGTATGTCAAAAGTTGTCTACACACGATAAGTACATGTACGGTACCCTGCTAATGAAATAAACAAGGTGCATACCCGGTACGTGTATGGTGAATGAAGGGTACCGGTACATGGAATGGCCACAGTCTCTTCACAAAAATCCTGAGTAACTTAAAGTGTTATTCTTTGCCGCTTCCTAAAAACATTACGAGTGTGTCCACAGTACTGTAGAGAGGTAATACTGCTTACCACGAAGTGGATGTCTGCACGCTGCCTCTGGATGTCAACATGTGATTTGAATTCCTCAACGAACTGCTGGCTAGTTAAAAAAAGAAATCTTGGAGAAAGCAGGATCCATCCATTTAAGGACGGGGTATTAATTTCCTGCTCCCGGTGCTTCCGACACCGTCCAGTTTGATGTCCGTTTTGGAACAGCCCAAAGAAGTGGGACGATTCTGGAGGGGGGATACAATTCGTCACCGCGTCCAGCCATCATTTTGTCTCGCCAGCATTGAGCAAGAGCACCGACCGCCTGGTAAACATGCGAGTGTTGCAGGCTGTTGGGAATCCTATCCGCGACGATGACGTTATTAGACAGAATGTTGCACTCTATGCCGTACAGTAGAAATGATTCACGCTGAAGCCCCAAGTGCAAGACTGACAAGTAGTAGGCATGTAGGAGACTCACGAGGGACTTGTCATGGGCAAACTGAACCATTGGGAGACAGGAGAAATACCTGTTCTCTTATCCATTTTCCTATCCTCTTTTTCATTGTTTCTGAGGCCGTTTCATTGCTTACTGGAGTGAAATGAAATTAGATATCATCAAGAATAGTGTCGGACACCAGTAGATGTACATAGACATGTACTGTGCAATGTGCGTACATGTATTAATCCACTTTTCGTCCAGAGTAGTTACATGTGTACATTACATATACACTGTATATCGTATATCATACAGCTTCTAGGGAACAAGTACTGCATGCCAAAATGTACTGTACATGTACTGGTACATGTACATGTAGGCCTACATGTACGGTACATGAACAGTAGGCCTACCGGTATATGGATGTAAATTTATATGTGAATTTAGTGCATAATGTATACATAGCATGTACCTGTACAAAGTACATGTACATCTACAGTGCCCTACATGTACACACGTTCATGTGCGCACGCGGTTGACAATGTGCATGGGTATCACTGTCCATCTGATTGCAATACGGCGCATAATGACTATGGCTTGGTTCATGCATGGTCCATGGTCTGTGGCTAGTGCATGGCCCACGGTTTGTGGCTGGTGCATTTCATTAGGGAAATCCTGCTTCTGGCGGAACAGTGTACTGCAAAATAATATCCGTCTACAGATCAAGCTCCTTGTCAAATGTCCACGCATGAAAGGAACTTTTTGAAGTCCAAAGGGTCTGTGAACAAATACCCGGTACTCAACGCACTACCGGTACACATAACGGTACATGTACATGTAGCATATTGTTTCTGTATTTTAAAGTTATTTTTTCAGTTTTATTTTTTCAGTTTTATTTTTTCCTCTTTGTTAAAGGAACATGAACATGTACCAGTGGGTGACACGATTGGTAAAATCCCCAAAATGGGACTGTTGTATAATCCAGGAATAGATATATCTTATTTGAAAGTACATGAACTAGTACCGGTCCAAGTACACATATACGTACCGGTAAATAACAAGATCTTTGATTTAACCATTTAAAAATGCTGCTCTGTTTTTTTTCGATTTTTTACAAAGCAGTTGACTCAAAGATGAAAGCTGTGCAGTAAATCTTACACACGTACATGTACCTCACAATTAGCCAATATTGCGACATTACGGAAAAAAACCAAACGTGTCACCTCCCTTTAAAATCTAAACATTTAAAATTTAAACATTTAGGAAAATTTGAAAATACTGACTGAAGATTGAGAGGCAAACACTGTTTTTACTCTTTAAAAAAAAGACATTACAAATGGGTGCATTATAATGAGTACACACATGTACATGTAGGTACATGTACCAGAGATAATAGCAAATAACATGCAGAAAGAAAAGGTGATTGGCTGATCACGGACTTATAACTATGAGATGATAAGATCAAGAGATCATGTGAAGATTGAGCAATCAAGCAGATTGACCAATCACACTCACACCATTAGACATGAGCATGTACACACACATAATACACGTACATGAACATTTATACATGTGCATGTATACATGCACATACATGTAAATTTACAAATGTATATTTACAAATCCTGGAAACTGGTTGTACATGTAGGTACAGGTGTACATTAACTGGCTCATTCCACACAATGTAAATGTACCATACACCATAAACAACTATGGACTGACTACTCATTGACCCACATATGACAGTGTGTACACAGAGTGAGGTCAATGATCACTTCCACCATCACAGCTCTCACAGCAAGCTCCCTTTATGAATGGGTGACCTCTTGGATAGCAGCAAAACCACAGGAATGCCTGGCATTCATCTGGCATTTTGGGATGATGATAGCCTGCCCTGCAGCTCATGTTGGGACCTGTTTGGCAAGCTGAAGATAAAGATTGGGCTCATGCAGAGAGATCTATTATGCATTGAGATGTTGCAATACAAGCTGATACCCTACTGGTACACTTACACATACCCATTACATGTACCCCTACATGTACATGTACATGTAGGTACAGGAAGTACTGGTAAGGTACATGTACATGCACTGCAGCTGTAGGTGACAGTTAAATTGCGTAATTGTGAAATGACCACATATGCACATGTACCTGAACAGAGTCATGTTCATATTTTGGACATGAATGTGGCTTTTAACCTTCATTAAGTACAGTACACAGCCGGTACATAAAGGCCTACATGTACATGTGCAGTGTGTGTACAGCAGCATACCGGTACTACATGTACATGTACATGTACTTCTGAAAGTGAAACTGTCCCAGAACAAGTGGATCTAAAATACATGTACTCATACATGTACATGTATTTGTTACATTCAAAAGGACAAGTAGTTTCTGAAATGAAAACGGTGGCATTTACAAGCAAGTTGTTCAAACACATCATATACATGTACATGTATATGTATGTACATGACCAGTGCTAGCATCAGCAAACAGGCAAATCCATAATTTGACTTCCATCCATGTACAATTTTTAGGTCAATTGTTGCATTTTCATTCAAGGGCAGATCCTGGAGGGGGGACAATAGGGGGTACATGTATATGCCCCCTCCCAAAAAGGTGCACATTTATTATTTTTGTGTGTGTAAATAATGTGACATGTATGTTCAGAAATACATGTATATGTACAGTGGACAAGTTTGTACATGTACATACCAGTATGTACAGCACACCCAGTATGTGTCCTAGTACATCACACGCTTCGTTCTTTGCCTGGAGTCCTTCTTTGCCTGGAGTCCGTCTAGAGTGCCTGCTGCATGTCTGGTGAGCTTTAGCCTTCATGAGCGGCCTTTCACCCTGTTTAAATGATTAACCTACATGTACATGTATATGCAGTATACATGATGCAAAGGAATTTGATTTTGCTACCACTGAATGGGTCACACACAGTTCAGACTTTTTCTTTGCCTAACGTACATACACATGTACATGTACCAGTACGGTATGTGTTAATAAAAACATGTCTCCGAATACATGCACTAGTTACCACTGTGTACATGTACATACATATATACAATGAACAAGCATACCAGTCACAGGCCTTTGGGATGATTAACATTCCCCAATGTTTTCCGGGGGTTTTCAATGTAAACTAAACATGCAGTCATGCAGACCACACACAAACTTATGCAGAATCATCTGAGATTCATCTTGGGAAAGAGGAGAAATGGCCCTCTTCCACTGCTCTTCCTTGTATGGTTTCTTCTGCAACGACGCCACGTCTCAGCTTTTGGAAAGAGTGCTACCGGTAACTGGACATGCGTACATTACATGTACGGTACAATGTGTGTACGGTACATGTACATGTACTTGTAAAAGAAATTTATGCAGCTCAAACATCCATGCGGGATATATCATAAGCTACATAAAAAAGGGACAGTCTTTTCCAGGCCAGAGAGGGAAAACATGATATGATTAGAACACTGTATATTTACTGTACACATGTACCATACAGTGTATCATTCAATTCACAACTGTGAAGATTTCAGCAGATACATGTATGTGGATGCGAATCATCTCGAGCAATAGCAGCCAAATGTTCGTGCCTTAGTACATGTACGTGTATGCGCATGAAGTTGCGGTGTACATGTACATGCACATTATACACATGTACTGGCAGTTCCATGGTACAACATGTACTGGTATTTTTGTGACACATATGGACCAGCAGTTACGGTACATGTAAGAACTCCCCAAAGAAGTTACGGTATCTAAACTGTCCACCATGCACAGGAATGTTTGGCATTAAATTCATCGTGAACAGGGAATCCAAAAGATGTCAAGTACATGTAAGGAACTGTGCATGTACATACATGGTACACAAATCCAACGAGGAAATGCCTCCATGCTACATGCACACACTGGTATACATGTACATGTATATGTACATGTACATGTATGTACATATACATGTTATGGTCATTTACACTTAGAAAACTGTCCAGCTCTGGATGAAATGTGTCCCAACATAATGAAGATACATGTACATGTACTTCATGTACGTACACTGTACGTGTACAACATGTGCACGTACTGGTACATGTACGCGAAAACAATGATGCGATGTACATGTAACACGGTGCTATGTGACCTTTGCAAAATGGCACATACATGTACATGAACACTGAAAACTGTTACAATAATTAAGCTGAATACTTGTGATTTTTGACCGCCCACAAGCGACAACCCTGCCTGACCTTTATGCCAAATTCAACTGGAGTAATACATGTACATGTATGTATCTTATCTAATCACTGTATTGCACCCTTGTCATCCGCTCAAGACACTGCTTGTCGGCTCGTGAGACACCAGCACATGCATACATTGAAAGTATGGAAGGCAAGATCCGATGCCGTTGGCTGGACGACAGCTTTCAGAAGTGCCAGAGTTTTCGGTTAGCAAAGAATATGAGTCTTACTTGTCAATTTAGAAAGGGGGATTTTTGACTGAATAAGTGAATTCACTTATCTGAGGAGGTACTGCAAATTTGACCATCAAAAGGAATGTTTCGAAATCTAGAAACAAAGTTGGGAGGCAATGTCAACATCGGCCCGTCTGATGTCAACAGAAATACATAATCATGAAACTCCACTGCCATTGATTCCTCTTACAAAAAAGTAACAATGACATTTAACATCCAGCAAACAATGTTGAAGACATTCTTTCAATTTGCTTTGTTATGTCATGGCAATAGCTGCCCATAAATATAATGTTGCTGTGGTCATGTAGGCCTAGATCGAGAACGATTACGGAGCTCACACAATATACTCGTGGCTAACATCTGCAGCACTGGTGCGTGCTCTTTTTTCAAAGC